TATATTGTGCATAGACACAGTCTCCACGTTTACTCTTCGTAGAATCAACTGTTTGTAGATTCAGCAGTGGTGAAAGGTAATTCTGAGATCGAGTATACAAGGCGCGTTCAAAAAGATACTGAACTTTTTACAATAGGGCGTCCACCACTACAGGAAGTGTGCTGCAGCTACCTAGCGGCAACGTTTAACAAGGAATTGCCATTGCCACAATTCGCAATGACCTTTGTTCGTTAGCTACAGCCGCTAAAAGAAGCACATGAACAAGCTATTGTTCGTATCAGTACCACACTGACAATAAGAGCTGGAAGAACAACATGTGTTTGAGATTCTCTGCTAGAACCTCGCAAGTACTTTCAAAAGGAACATTTAAGTTGCTTAACCAAGCTTACGGGGAAGACTACATGAGACGTACACGATACTGCGAGTAGTTCAAGCGGTTTGAACACGGTAGAATGTCGATCGTTGATGCTCCAATGCCTGGACGACTTCCCACAACACATGATGACGACGCTAAGCGTTCGTGCTGTGATTCGAGGAAATATTCGTTAGACTATTCGAAACGTTGCCAACGCAGTGGGTAATATAGCCTAGGATATTGGTATGCAATTACTTGTTGGTTTTTCGGTCCCAAACTAAACCCATAGGAAACGAATGCTAGTTCACAGGGCCGAAGCTAGAATACAGGGCCGCGCGTGGCCCTACAAGGCCACGCAGTGCCACGTTATTCTGCGCAGAGATTTGAAAATACATTGAAATGAATGCTTACCCTCAACTCAATTTTCGCGGGTTCACCTTATCGTGTTTCCCTCGCCTTCTGACGTCAGAAGGCTGCCCACTAAAATAAACTAAAAGCACTCCTGTACAGGCAGCTCGCATGACATATTGCCTGTTACGTCCAGCCTATTTAGGACGCCGTTACGATATTAAGAAACAATGTGGTACTTCAAGAGGGAACGACACGAGCGAAACGAGTCAGCTCGCGAATGCTACAGCTTGAATGATCTTTCTTTTTGCAATGACGTATATATCTCAACGCTCTTACAATTTATTTCTTTTAGTTTCTTCAAATAACAGAGCCCGGAGCGTCTCCGGCGCGTTTCCTCCAAACAGTGCCTATCTCCAGCACATGATGGACTCGCTCAGAGGATTTCAGCTAGACAAACGTGCCTTTGCTATCACGGACGACAACGTAGCTTCCGCCAACTGGTTCACCCTCCGCGCACTCCTGAGGTCATGTAACTCTCGCATTGTCATGCCCCGCCCTTGGACTGCTTCGACCGGATTCCCACTTTCCTATCTCCTATTTTCCGTCGCTTGGCCTTCTCTATCTCTTCATATATATTTCATCTATTCTTTTTATCCCTCCTCCACCCAATCCCTACAAGGCACTTAGCCGTGTCGCCAATGGGCAGACAGAAATCAGTGCCTTTTTCCTTTCTATCAAGAATCACACACTATTTTTCACTAGCTTTGCAGTTTTTAAGCTGTAAAAATCGGAGAGCTTTATTCTGTGTCGTTCTGAGTGAAAAATTATGCTAATGGAAAACTAAATCCAATAGTAATTCCTATGTTGTTGCAATGCCGTGATCACAATTCACGTCACAATTATCCAATCAAATGGCGGCAGCCTTCCGGCGTCATTTCTTCTCGCAGTAGTTCTGGCGAGCTAAAAGTTACGCAGTTGGTACCGATGTTTTCAATCGTTAGAGGGCCCCTTTAAACCATCTCGTGTTGTTCCGTATTTGGAGTGTTTAGTGGTTATTTCACGTGGTTTCCCGGCCTTTTGAACAGACACTGTTTGCTAAATAATTGTTCAATAGATAGCCAGCGCTCGCGGAGCCAATGTTTCGTTGTTCGCATATGTAGGAATTCATGAACGCCCACGTGCATGTGGCCTAAAACACACACGTGTATATAAATTGAGATGAACAGAAAAGTCGCACACCACTCGGTAATAAACATAAAAGCGTTAGCAATGGCCAAATGATTTATTTCAAAATCGACGCTGGCCTTGTCATAGTTCCCATCTATCAGACTGCTATTTTGCAAATGCCGGGTTCACCCTAGTTCGCGCGAATTTTCATGACTAAAGCTACCAAATAAAAAAAAAACATCACTAACTAAACATTTTATCGTCAAATTTTCGCTTGAAGCGATTATCGAAAAACCACTTATTAACTTGTCCATCATTATATGGACCCGTCACGAGTGAGCCTCATTTGAATTCGACGCCTTTGCAATTCAGAAGTCCAGGCCAGCCCACACTGAGGGCGACTGCTTCTCCCATGCTCTAAGCACTAGCTGCTGCATGATGTAAATTAAATTTAGCACTGCAAGACATCACGTAGAACTAGATATATGACTTGCCCATTATACTTGGCGGGCAAGACGGACTTCATGCAAAAGGTGTTTTGTTGTGGACAGGCTGAGTAATTCGGGATATAGATCGATGCCTTCTTCAATAAAAACTTCGAGTATTTGCGCGTGAACTATATTCTCAAAATCATAGTAATTGGCAAAACTCCTACTCGCCTCTCGCTTGTGACGTCATGAAAAGGACCCGGGTGCTACTCTTCACGCACGTGCTCGCTACGTAAAGTTCATAAAGCAATTTGCACTGAATATCGAAGCGAAATGCCTAAAAAATTCAACTGAGGTTGCCGTCAGGCGCACATTCTTTGTCGATTCCTCCTGGGTTCATCTGCTAGCCACCAATGTCTCACACCTGTGTCTATGACGAGGATATTTTCCCCGACTTTTCAGGGGCTGTAACGCACTCCTTATGATTTTGGAGCCTATTTTTGTCCCCGACTTCATCATTAGAGCTTTGACTTCTTAGTCTGCATTATAGCGGAATGTATGTATACCGCACACTGCGTGTGTTTGGTTGTGAACCCTGCCCCCTTCAGTTCTATGCCGTTCTTAGGAGCTTCGAGAGGCCGAGCAACAATGTGCGATATACTTCAAATAAATTGCATGATCGTTACGGTAGTTTGAGGCAAAAAAAATTGATTAAATACAAGTTATGAGCAGTGCCTGTGTAAGCGCGTCTTAAGAACTTGAAACTTCAACAAGAAATAAAAGCGTTGAGAGCACGTGTCAGGAGAAGGTGCCCGACGGCGATATAAAACAATGGTATGTTGTTCGGAGTTTTTTTGTTCAAGACATATGTTAATTCGTACGTTGATAATGCGACGCATACTGCCTCATTGTATGCTGAACATATTCGTTCAATGAACATGAGAGCGTTGGAACACACGGAAGAGACAAAGAAGAGCGTCACAGCATGAGCGCTCAACAACGCAACTGCTGTGCCGCTTCTTTCTTTCTTGTGTGTGTTCCCGTGCTCCCAATTCTCTGAACGAATATGACTAACAACTAGCCCACCTTACTATCGTCTTGCGATGATGAATAGAAGCAGTTTATTTACACTAACGTAGATAAATTCAAACCTTTCATATCAAAAGTCGTTATGAATTGTGCTTGAAATAAAACGTTGTCGTAGCACGGTAAAAAATCGCGATAGCCAACAAAGGCACAACAAGAATGGTGAGATAGAGTTTTCTTTTGTTTTTTCTCTTTACTAAGCCGATATATTGGTGCCAAATGAAACAGGAAAAGCGCCAGTACATTTCCTGAGCGTGAGGAACTGTACAGTAAGCGCCGTCTGATCATCATTGATAGAGCCCGCACACCCGATTAGGGAGCACTGGTGGATTGAAAGTAGGTGTGTGGCTCACGAGCAGCACACTGCAGGAGTGTATCTGTAATCCTAGGGGTGTGAACTGTAACAAACAAATCACTGCTGGTGTTTATTCGGAGCCAATATTTCGTTGAACAAGTTTGAATTTACATTAAAATTGCTCAGTCTACACCAGTTGCCTGCAATAACCGTTCCGTCAATGAAGCTATCAATTTTAGTTTGTCGGCAAAGGTTATGTCAACTTATGTCCACCTTACCACAATTGGGAGTGGAGTCCAATTTTTCTTTCAACTGATGTTGGCACGACGTTAACCTTTCGAATAAGACAAAAAACATGTGGTACTTCGCTTGTGAGGCATCGTAAGTTTCCTTCAACTTGCTTGACAGGACATTCGCCATCTTAGCTCAGGCACAGATGGTCGCTGAAAGATGTTAGCTGCTCGTGTGACTTGTGTTACGGATATTCTTGGCCGTCTTAGGCAAAGATTACATGCGTAAGTTGAACCATTCCTGGCAGTAAACTATCGCTCTAGAGCACAAATGACATCTGATTATATAACAAAATGTTTGAACGTAACGCTAGTAGTTGTGGAACGCCCCGCGAGGCAAGCGATGGATAACAAAATTGGTGCTGTTTTGGCGATGGCCTGAAAATTTAGAAAGTCAAATCTCCGCATTTACGCCACCGGAGTGCCGTTCCCATTGCCGCCAATCAGTGGCACATCAGGTGAATATTCTGCGATTGGTCTTCATGCTTATCGAGAGCCAAGAGAACGTTGTGCAATTGCAGTAGACGGAATGTGTGGCCACTCACACCACAGGCTGCAGAACGGTGATCATCCTTCCGAAATTTCGCTCAAAAAAAGAGAGCACCAGAACACTAAAACGGACCATGCTGCGGAAAGCATTTCTAAAATCTCTAAGGGTGTCAGGCTTCAGTACACCTCCTGAGAACTTTGTCAGTAAATTTTCTTTCATGTGTGCATTGTGTTATTTGGGACGTTTTATTATAATTTTTGCATTAAACTTCAAAATTTAAAGCAAACAATCCATCTGCGCTTGAAAGAGCTTAGCAGAACACTACTTAAGGGGATTTTCTGGTGCGCGCAGTAGGATAGAGGAGATAGTGGGGGGAGGGAGGGAATAAGACTTTGCTTGATGGCTGATAGTTACATTTTTACAGGTCAAACGTTTCAGTGGCAACTTTCGATAATGCATACATCATCACCACCAATTCACACATTTCCCTTGAGCCTATGTAGTAGAAAATGCAAGCTCCTTCAGAAACTTCGCTTACGTTGGCAGCGGTGACAAAGAATATCATCTCCTCGCTGAAAAACTTGATGTAGGCGAGCCTGAGCTGCATGTCTTTGTTGACGGTGACATGGTTGTATAGCAGCCTCCACACCTAAAGGAGGAGGCAAACAATAGTAGTAAAGAATTTTGTGGATGTATGAATATCATAGCGGCACTCACTCTGTGTAGCATTACTTAATACAAGGGAGTGATGAGTCACTGATGACACAATCTTGCCATTTTCGTAATGAAGACCTGTTCTGTTAGCTCAGAAGTTAACATTACCTTTTGATATATTCGTTTAACTGCCATGCACAATGTTGAGCACACCCATTTGTATTATATGGAAAATACAGGCTGGTCACAACACTAACATCACATATTAATGAAATAAATACGGGCCGTGGGCACAGCACGCTACAGACACCTATTTTGTGCATACGCGGCTAAGCTGCATTCTATTACGTCCGAATAGGTAAATGGGAGTCGTTTCTTCATTGCAAGTCACTGAGGAACGCGGCCTGGTGCAGGAGGCCCATGTGAATGGCTTTGCGAAAAGCCATAAGAATGTTAAGTTCATTTAGAGAAAGGGTTAATGTGCAAATTAGTGTACCAATACCGGTAGCCGACTATCAATGAGGAGTATAAATGCCCAAGAAAATGTCTTATTCTACTGAACGATAATTGCGCCACTCCATGAAATGATCACACTGTTCATAAGCTCTCGCTTTCCCGTTTCTCTGCTTCATTTACTCACTTGGTGTCTACCTACCAAAACGTGGCCTTCATCGGTGGAGTTTACACTACCGCACGGTCAGCAACATCACGTTACGCAATTCTGGCACCCTTCACCGACACATTCCTTTTCGTCAGTTTTATTACTCATTACATTTAGCGTTCATGCGTTACAGGTCCATTTATTCCTGATAACATTTTGGACATTTAAATTACCACAGTTGTTTTTTATCATGCAGGCACCTCTCTTTTGGCGGTTCGTAATCTTTTTGATAGGTAATGCACGTGACATAATTACAACAGTTGACGGACTGAAAGAGGCAGTATAGTTAATCTGACCATGCTCATCCATTGTTCCTTCTTCCACTTAACATACTAGGTAATCACGAACAATGCGTACGAGTTGACCCGTGCTGAAGCACACTGCAGCATTTGCCCCACGTGATGGAAACAAATACCTTGCTTATTGTTTGATCTCTTGTAATTCTTTATTTATTTATTTTTTGATTTCGTAAAGAACATTTCTGCGGTGTATTTCTTAATACGGTGAAAAATAACTACCGATACGTTCCCTCCTGCCATTTATTTCACTTTTGTTGGTAAAAGCCCATTAGCTTTTTAAGATCGGCTCATGAAGAATTACTACAACTCATTTGGGGAACATACAAATAATCTAACAGTAGCAGTATGTTCAACTCAACGAGGAGACCTCACGGGTGTGTTTTTTTTTCTAAATATTTGCGACTACACCTATAAAAATACAGTACTCGCCGTTGTCCATTATAAAAAAGGTATGTGCACCCGTACAATCAGCAAAAGAGGAATTTACGACTTGTATATGAGCTGAAGAACTGCTACAAACTCAATCTTTAAAATATCCCTCACTGACATGAGTCTGAGTAATAATTTCGCATTTTATATCAGGAAGCATCAAAAACAAAACTTGTGCTCACTTGGTAAGCCAACTGCACGCCAGATTTCTCATAGAAGAGGTCCCACATTCGGTCTGTTCCGTACTGTAAAAAGAAAGAAAAAAACATGTTCCATGATGATATTTCTTTACATAGTACCTAATATTACGCTTGTGCTCACTGCTGCATTGTTAGTACGATGAAAGAATGTACCTGATACTCTATCTTTACTGCGTGATACGTACAGAGGGAGCTATCTCGTTCATAAAAAATGTTCAAAAGAGTGATTCATGTCGTGAAAATGCACACAACTTTGTGGATGGAAGAATTCAAACTGCAGGATGCATGCAAGCCGTGCTCAGAACAAGGTCATAGGAACATTCCCTAAATCTCATATATCGATCAATACACAGTTAATTACTCTGTGAGACAGACAAACAGACAGACAGACAGACAGACACATAGACAGACAGACAGATAGACAGACAGACAGACAGACGGACAGACAGACAGACAGACAGACTAAAACACTTATTACATCCTGAAGAGTTATTGCTTGAACCGTTATTGGGGACCAGCGAAAATCACTGGCCAATTTCAAGTCGGGGCCATTTCCCAGTCGGCTTACCTGGATAGAGGGTCATTAATGCTTGGAATCGCAAAAGCACGTGTGCTAAGAAACAATAGGTATAATTGCAGCCCAGACATTTTGAAATAATTTATGTTGAGATACGACTGAAATCTCCCAGAAGACCGTGAGCCTGTCTGATACATTCTAAGTTCGTCTGCCTGAGAAGTTCGGGTGAGGAACAGAATACTCCCTCCTATTAAGCTGCTAGTGGGAGGTGATTTCGTTGAAAGTAAGGAGCGTATCGTGAAGCTTGATTCAATTCGCCCCTCATAAGGCCTTCATGCCGCCGTGGTGCGTGCGATCTTGCGCTTGGTGATGCGCAAGCTCGCCGAGGTTAGGCATGGTTCAAAGAACATCCGTGCCCACAAAACAAAGAGATGAAGCGAGTGCCAGTGTTTGTCCCTTTTTACAGAATGAAGGTAGTCTCTCGGGATGTCAAAACGTTGGTGCGGGAGGGGTTGATCACGAACAGACTTACGGCGACATGTTCTTCGTTAGCGCTTGTAGCAACCTCACTCAGGCAGGAGTGCGTAATTCCCCGTTACCATCAATGGCTGCCAGCGCGAATGTGCAAAACTTGCCTTACTTAGTGGCGTCGACAAAGACAGTCGAATCACGATTGTCTACGGCCTTCTGTATTATTGCTCGTGCTCGGGCTTTTCGCCTCCCTGCATTAATCGCGAGTGCATATTTAGAGGGAACGGTCTGACCACAAAGGGCTCCCTGAACTTCGTAGATAACGTGATTTAGCGTTCAGTACCCATTTTTGTAGCCATCTCAGCCACGTCTAGTACGCGTCTCCCTGCCCTAGTTGAAGAGAGCCCGACCCCCTGTGCTCTGATATGTGCTTTTATGAGATCATCAATGTCGTTGTGCATACCGAGTTGGCTTAATCTGTCACAGCATTTGGTTACTGGTAACCCTAGTACTTTTTGATGTTCTTATACATGAATGTGTTTAACTGATTTGTTTTTGTTTTGGTCCAATACAAGGCAGAGGCTACATAGTTTATGAGACTCGTTAAGAAGGCATGATGAATCCGGGATAAGTTTTTCACCTCGGTTTTTCCTGCGTCCTGTGTTCTGGATGCCAACATTGCCTAGTAAAACAGCCAGTAACTGTTTTAAAATGAAGAATTCACACAATAATTAGGTGTCATATTTTATTTATTTCTTTTATTTGTACATGGTTCTGTTACCATTCGGTGATTTTAGCAGGGTGGTACAGGGTACCTATACAAACTTCCATGCGCAGGAAGATACAAGAATATACGATAAAAAGAATAACTGAATAAATATACACAATATGAAGCACTTGGTCAGGGCACTTTCTAATTCCAATGCAAACCATGCATCAGGGTGTTGAAACAATCTAATTAGTATATTCTACTCGAATATGAAGCGAGCAAGAAATGAATACCTAATGCAATTATTACGTGTAAGAAAAGGACTTCATGTGAAATTGTGTCTTTGCTTGGTAGAGTAGCCACAAGAAAAAAAAAAATATCGGCTATGTTTACTTCATATTGGCCGATAGTTGGTTGATGCAAGGACTTCAGCCTTGATTTGCGCTATGCTAATGGTAATGGTGAAATTTCAGCTCTGAATAAGAAGTCCATATCAGAAGTGCTTGAAAACTTACAGTTATTAAAACGCACTGCTACTTTTCGCACTTTTCATAATTTGTTATCCTTAGTTTTAGTTAAAGGAGCTCAGATATTAGTGGCGTTATCTAATATTGGTAAATAAATTTGTGTTTACGCTAAAAGGCGTGCAGAAGGTGTGGACAGCTTGTGAGCACGACTTAGTTGCATTTGTGGTTATGGCTTATGTGCCACTTTCAACAAAAAAACTGTTCTAAGCATTGTATGTGAAGAGCAAAGAGCATTTCTTTTGAGCAATTCGCATGAATGCAGTTTAATCAAGCTAATGAGAACTGTCCATTTCTCACACCGGATAGCAATTTTTCTGAATTTTTGATTTCACAGACCTTATCAGATGGGCGTACTGTCATCTGCGTTAAGTTTTCATTTAGCAGATTTTTGTTAAACAATGCCAATAAAGAAAATAAATGTTATACACCCTTGAACTGAGCCCTGAGGAACACCGGAGTCTACCGTTACGCATTAACAAACAATTCTCAAAAAGAAATTGCTGTCGTTTAGTTAGGTAATAAAAGCCAGGCACTGACATTTTGTGTCGAAGTATTTTCAATATTTAAAAAAATATTTTCTGTGCGAAAATTTATCAAACGCTTTGACCAAGTCTATAAAAATTCATTTTTTTTCTGTGGTTATTGAATTTGGCAAAATCAAATATGGTTTTCAACTAGCTGAGTGCAGGTTGAGAAGCCTTTTCTATATCTACGCTCATGTCTAGTTAGGAAATTGTGCATTTTGAGAAACTCTATGATACAATGGTTTTTGTATCCTTTTTTATGTATTGGTTGTACTATCTCAGTTACATATTCATGTGGAACTTCACTATTGGATATTGATTTACAGAGCAGTACGTAAAAATACTTCGATGCCCATTTTGCTTACCTTCTTAAAAAGGCATTTGGAACGCAATAATTAAAGACCAGATGATTTTTTTCGTATTCGCTTTCAGAAACAGGTCTAAGATACCACTTTCAGTAATAATATCAGACATAGAAGCTAAGGCGATATGAAAAGTTTACAAGGTACCGTTATGTTTGTTGTAAGCAGATGTTATGCGTTCATTAAAAAAATGTTCGCGATGGAATTTGAATCAGTTATCTTTTCACGACGGTAATAAAATATATTGCATTTGTTCTCCTCAACTTCTTTAGCGATGCAGTAGTGCAAATAGGTAGAGACTCACCAATGTAACGTTGTTTATCTGAAATAACCTTCACTCTAATCTGAGATGTCAATGCTGCAATTTTCTCTTGACAAATGAAATCAGAACAACGAAACTTACTTTTTTCATCATTTTACCTTTCTTCTCAATTTCAATGTTTCTCTAGAGATCCACAGATTCTAGGTTTCAGGCCTTTAAATTGGGGTTGAGACAAAACGCTTCATGCTTTTGGCTACAATATCCAAAAACTTCATCCAAATACCAGTTACACTATCAGTAGTATTGGCAAAATCATCGAAATGAAAAGAAAGCATATCGAGTATCAAATATTGATTGGGTTTGCCGAAGTTGTGGAAAGCAGTCACCTTGGATGTTTCACTAACAAATATACTGACACAATTAGCCCTACACCAAGGTGATCGGAAATACCTGGTACGACGCCACATGTGCAATCATTTGCTAAATTTCTACAAACAAAAAAAAAGATCTAGAATTGACTTGGAGCTGCCCTAAATCCTTGTGTAACTTTTAAGTACCTGTGATAAGTCATATTAAAAAGCAACGTCTTTTGTAGTATTTGCGAAAGCATTGAGTGACTAATATGTGTCATGGTTTGTCAATCAACATTCAGAGAATAATGTTACATGCCAAGATTATTCGGTCGCCTGACTATACATAGGTTGCCCCGTATATTTTAAATCATCAATAATATCGTATGAAGACCAAGCGGATCTATTCAAAGCACTAAATATACATCGCGAGAAAGGGCCAACCACCAAGTGATGAACAATCGTCAACAAGCACGAGAGAAGAAAAACTTGTAGATCCCACGTGCTGGGGGAATCGATGATAAGCGAAGCACGAATCGGGAAGGTTCCATAGCCATGTTAAAATCATCACAACGTTATGAAGCGGACGTAAATTATCCCGTACATGACTTACATGTCAGGATTATCACGTTTAGACGGGTCATTTATGTTCGTCTTCTACTCAAGTCTTATAATTCCTAATTTGTTATGTGAAGCTAGCGAAACGACCACAAGCGCTTCATGAGCCTGGTATGGAGTCTTGCTCTTGCATGACATACGTGGGGTGATTTCTACGTGAGGGCCTGTCAATTATGTTCGCCATGCAGTAATGTTATACCATGCCAGTTGTTCAATATGTCATGTGAACGAAACCACTAAAGGTGCAGCAAGATCCTGACATTTAAACATTACATTCATGACGAGCATGTCATTATTTTCATGTTTTGACTAGACGCTTATGTTTGTCGTACAGTCATGTTATGCCATACTATATTTGGTATTTTTGGTAACATTTGTGTGCGAAAATTTATCAAAGCTCTTGAAGTCTATGAAAATTCATCTAATTGTTTGACGTGGTTAATGAGCTCCGCAAAATATCAGGTATGGTTTCAACTAGCTAGCTAGCTAGCTTGATAGATAGATAGATAGATAGATAGATAGATAGATAGATAGATAGATACATGATAGATACATAATAGATGGCTAGATAGATAGATAGATAGATAGATAGATAGATAGATAGATAGATAGATAGATAGATAGATAGATAGATAGATAGATAGATAGATAGATAGATAGATAGATGTGGTCAAACTTGCCGAAGTTTTCTAAGAAATGCTTCGC